TCGATTGTTTCAAAGTTATAGCGAAAAAACAAAATTGCATAAAATAAGAACAATATTATTTATTAAAGATAATATTATTTATTGATAATTAAACAATAATTAAACGATAATTAAACAATAATTTACTTTATAAACTACTTTATAAATTGTTCAAAGTGACCACCATTTTGGTCTACACACACTTCTGCTCTTTGAATTATTGATGTTGTAGAACGCAAAAGAAGTTCCGCATCGTTACGTATATTATTACAAGCGTCTGTTATTTTATTTAATAACTGCTGCCGATTGACTGGCTTATCCGCATAGATTTCATGTGCCCCCATAAAAAATAATCCAGAGGAGATAGATCGGGAGATCTTGCAGGCCAATTTATTGGACCTCCCCGGCCAATCCAGCGCTCAGGAAATTTTTCATTTAGATATCTCGTAACAATCCCACACAGAACAAAAACCTCTAATGGATGTCCAGTAGACGTCCATCATGGAGATTCGAAACCTCTATTAGATGTCCATGTAATCTCCTATAGACATCTACTAGACATCCACAATTCCGCATTTCTTACTTCCATTCGACATCCATTAGATGTATTCATAGATGTCACATGAACGTCATAATCATAGATATTTCATGGAGCTTTGATGGATAAATAATAGCTTTCACAGCAAAACAATATTCCAATAAAGTCACATCTTAAATTGTAAGATGGTAACATTCCATTGAGATTAATAAACCTGCCATTAACTTCCCAACGACATGAAAATATTTGTCCAAACACTCCAAACTCATCCCATTAACATCCCAGAGACCTTGCGCGTAACGTTGTATTAATATTTATACAACATGCCAGAAACCTCCTAATATTATTTTTCATAAGGAACCCTTGCAAAAAAAAATATTATATTGCCAAAAATTGATTAAACACTATTTTCAATAGCTTTCAATTGTTTTTTTCACTAATAACTGAATAGTCCAAACTCTTTTTTTATATAGAATCCCGCAGAAAATCCATAAAATTAAATAAAAGAAGCTTTTTATTAGTGTGTTTCTGGAAATATAAGATATGTATATATATATTATTTTACATCTTAAGTAGACAGTAAATGGATAATTTTAACCTTTTCGGACATTTATCCGCCCGATTTTAAAAAAAAATCAGTCCAATATCTGAATTCCCTATGTTGGGATTATATTAGAAATTACACTGATAGAAATAATTACATTTTTAATCTTCTGCCAGTTGCTCTTTGCAAGCTTTATATACTTCTCATGATTGAAACTCAAATACGAGATGGGGCGCATCGCGCGTCGCATAGCGGTAAATAAACGAACTGCGCAGTAACATTTTTCATGAAATATTAAATAAATAATAATTTTGGATATAGATAAACATGCACATCAAATTCAATTATTAATAGATATTAAACGATATTTCATAGTTTTGTAATATTTTCAGCATACGCGAAAAGCGAAATGATTGCGCGTAAGGTGTCTGAAGTATTGAAATAAGATTCCATTAATCTTCATACATATAATATTATAAAGTAAGATTTTATTGTAGGTTAGTGATATATACCAGTAATACGATCATTAAAATGTGTAAGTTTGTAACTTCCCTATATAATTTTACTGCAATGTTCGGTGCTGTGAGGGAGACATTAACTAGAGGTTATATAGATTATGGATGCTTTTTCCACAAAAATTAAAAACTAAACTATCATTGATAAATTGTTGAATTGATATTATTCACTTATTTTTATGTGTGTACTAATTGTACCAAATATAAGAGAGAAATATATTTCGTAAAATCAAAAATATATTATTTGTTTTTAATACAATTATTTATTTACGCAAACAGATAAATGAATAAATAAAATATTCCGTGCTTAATTGTATCCTTTTTATATCTGCGTTAAAAATATTTGCAATTTCTCATATCGGTTATATGTAATACATACCAATTATAAAACTTAATTCGAATTTATCAATAAAACCGAAAAAACATTTATTTTTAACTGTTGCAAAAATAATCTGCGTTTATTTGTTTTTTTCTTGATCATTTTATTATTTTCATAATAAATTATGTATGCGGCAAGAGAGGCGATGTCGAGGAGATTATAAAAAAGGGCGAGAGGCCATCTGTTAGTCCGTCTGTGAGTCGTGTATCTTCCCAACATCTGATCCATGGTATCCACTCCAATTTTATTTTTGTTGGAACACTGAATAATTTCCGGCTTTTTTTTGGTATCATCTGAGACCACCGTATCTGAATGCATACTGGATAGCATAAAAACTGCCTTATTTTTTTTTTTTGGCAGGTAAGAGCAAATGGTTACTTTCTCATGGAAACCAAATAAAGACGAAAATTCTTTTCTAGTTTTAGATGGAACCATTACTTTGGGAATATGTTTCTTATTTTTTCTCAAAGTTCCGACCATAGTGAGATTCCACGAAATCAAATATTTTGCCAATGGCAGTGTCGTAAAAAAGTTGTCCATTGAAATATTTCTACCTGACCCTTTGTACGGCGCAGCCAGCTCTTTAACTACTCTTTCTCCTTGATTTATTTCGCGAGTAGTTTCCTTTTTTCCTATGTAAATTAGGCCAAAGAGCGGATAAGAATTTTCTGCGTCGCATATCCACCATATTTTCATTCCGTACTTAGCAGGCTTTGATGGAATATACTGTGTGAATTTCGTTCGACCTCGGAAAGGGAAAAGCTGTTCGTCAATTGTTAAACTTTCAGTTGGTCGATACATCTTTGACAAATTTGAATTTAACATGGTCCATATGTCCCGTATAGGAGCAGCCTTATCGTCCTTCATACGTTGAACACGAGTATTCGCATCGTTGAAACGGATGAATCTTAAAATGTTCCAAAATCGATTGATGCCCATCGCCGCTCGATATAATGGATACGATGTAGTTTTCCACATATCAGTTGTGTGATCAGTGTTAGAATTATTTGCCCCTGCCGCAATCAAAATTCCGAAAAATGCATACAATTCACAAGGTATCAAATATTTCCATACAGCTTGTTTCCGTGCAGAATGTGTTTCGTTGTAATTTTTATAAACTGCAGTCGCCTTTTTATTAGTACAACGAACAATTATATCAATCATCTCGCTTGTAACAATTTTTTTAAACGTATCGCAAATGGATAACGTTTCTGTGCTCCTGTGCGGGCCACTTCTTTGCCGCACAATGTTACGAACTGCAGCTTGGTGTTGACTCGGTGGTGTTCGACTCCAAACTGTTCCATCTTTCGCCACAAAATTTCTATTATCATTTCTACTTAAGTTTACATTGTCTTCTGAAAATAAACAATTAATGTTATAAACAATTAATAATTTATATCATAAAATATATAAAAATAAATTCATATAAATTCATATAATACCTTCAGCCGCCTCATCGTCGCTTGCCTCTGCTTCACTCGCTTCATATTCCTTTGAAAAATACACATATTGTAGTTATACAGATTGTTCAAGATTGAAACGTTGAATTTAATCGATAAATTTAAACTGTAAATTTAATCGACAAATCTGAACGGTAAGAGCCGCAATCAAAATTTTCGAAGATTTCCGTTCTCGCGAGAGTTTCTAGCAAGAAGCTCTTAATCAAGATTTCCGAACCGCGAAAAAAGGGCAGTAATTAACAGGACAATTTGAAGACTCCCGTCGGAATCGCGGAATACGTGCCGTCGCTCGCTCCTATTATTCAAAATTAAACGAATATTGAAAACAATCTGCAATCGAGTATTTTCTGAACTCTCCTTATCTTCCAGCAGATCTACGGATTTGCGTTACACACCGCTTCTCGCTCATCTCTGAGCGTTTCTCAAGATTCTGGCGTCGAGGTCGACTCCCGAACACAGATTAAAATATATAATACCTTCATCTTCCTCATTGACTATCTCGCCTTCATCATCTCTATTTTCCTCTAAAAATACATATATTATGATTATAAAAAATGCTTACTTTACACAATGACATATACAAATAAAACTATACAATACTTAATAAGATTCTATTATTTTTGTAATTTAAAATTTACATAAAAAAATATAGAAACAAAACTATATATTATCAGTTTCATCGCTGTCCGAAACTTCAGAGCTTTAGGCTTCACTTTGCGGCACTGGAAACCAGTCCTCATCGTCGCTGTCAGAAGCATAGCAATCTTTCTGCTCAATAGGTCCTAATAACTGTTTCAAGTACGCGTCCTTGGCTTCATCGTTTAATCTAACGTGAAATCTATTATGCATTTACTATACTGTTACGTATATTCTATTTAGAACATTTCATATAGAGAATATTTTATTAGTATTTTACCTTTCGAACTCTTCTTCTGACAATTCATCCATTGTTGTTCACTTTTTTTTATAACTTATGCAATTCTACAATAAAAGACACATAAATAAATAAGCGATAATCACAACAAGTACTTAACGTTCTGCCAGGAATACAGCGTTCACGTGAAGCCGACGCTCCGAAATGTAACGGTCGCAAAGTATTTCCGATCTTTCACGTATATACGTATATAGCGTGTCTACACTTTCGGCCGGATCAAGCGACGCGGTAGCGTCGCGACGCCAAGTATATATAAAAATTTGTTCCAGCTTGTCAACGGTTTGCCTATGTACAGGGGCCGCGACGCTACCAAGTAGCTTATCCGGAGTTTTACGTCTAATAAACTTTCGAATAAAATTCCTCAGGAACCAAGCCGTTAATCAAAAATCTAACGGCACATTTCTTATACAATGTGAATGCGAGCTTTCGATTGCGACCAGTTTGAATAAGATTGGTGCAGTCAATCCTGAGGAATGATAATCGTATACCAGCAATGTGACATTTTTCGTTCTTCATCATTATCATAATAATAAGGTAAGATATTTCAGACTCTCACGTATGCTCGCACGCACACACGCAAAGCGAGTTTGTCCCTGAAGGCGCGTTTGCAGCGCTCATGTATGTTTATTCGCTTGAGTGTGCAAATACGCCTTGAGAGACAATGTGTATGTGCGTGCATACGCATATGATACGTATCAAGCGGTACGCGTAGAGATGAGCGATGTTGAAAAAAAAAATCGACCATCAAATAATCGATCATCAAAAATAACTATTCTCTATAATCGATTTTATCTTGAAAGCATCGATAATAATCGATTAATATCTAATTTTTTTTAAACAAAACAAATAAACCTAAAGCCCATATCAGTCTACGCATTGAAGATTGAAGATTAAAAATTAAAATTGTAATTTGACGGATATATATTAATTGGAGACAATGCTTATTGGCCAGTTGCAAATAAAGTTTTTTAATTGGTCAATCATGCTAGTTACCCTAAGTACCGGTCGATTGAGTGACTATGTTCAATGGCCTAGTTTACACCAATATACTTTAATACGTCTTAAGTACTATAATACTGGCCAATCATAACCATTCCTCTAAAGTAATGGAATAGCTGTGATTGGCCAGTATAGTATTTAGTACGTATCAAAGTTTGACGGTGTAAACTAGGCCAATCACATTGTGTCTAAATAAACCTCACCCGAATTTGACTAATCAGAGGGTCGATCATGTAACTTTTTCCCTAGGACGGATATTCTATCGATCCGCCGAAATCGCGAACCGCGCAACGCATCCGTGCGTTGCATTGAATGCACCGCACCTGATACGACTGCACCACGATCCGTTCAGCATTATACACGCATTTACATTATATATATATTCCATCGATTATAATCATTTATACATCGCACACCGCCGTATCACCGTACCGGCGACCGCTTCACGCACACCACGATACATCGACACGCACTCACACGCTTGTATCATTCGCTCATACATAACGAGCTTACATTCGCCACTCTGCGCCCAACTCATTATTGTTATACATTTGCGCGCTCACTCACTCGTCAAACGTCTCACACGCACGCATATACACACGCCCACTCGCACACTTTGTTTATACGCATACACGCACACTGTACAAACACACATTTATACGCAATAAATTATATTTTAGTAAACACTACTTTCGTTCGTATCTCGATACCCTCTTTCACGAGTCCCGGATCCCGACCGAGTTATCCGTAACCGCGAAAGCGGTTTATTACAAGTTATATTGATATTATATTATTAAATTATATTATATTATATATAACTATATTATTGTTGAACATTATCGAGAATGGTCAACATTGAAGGATGATGTTACAGTAATACAAAGGTGAACGAATTTATAGGTATAGTTAAATTGAGCTACGTTACACAAGATTTTATTGCCTATATAGGATTCAATAAAATTAACGAATGCACTTATAATGCGACACGGGCAAGTCACAGATGTCTAAAGGACAAGGATGGATTTATATACGACATCTACCGTGGAGATAATATGGATTTCTATTAGAAATCTATACAATATCCACTGTGGAGATAGATGTCGCATGGAGCTATGGAGGTTATATGGACGTCCAATGGATGTCATGTTCCGTGTGGGATTCTGCTAAAGTGAGGTGGTGCTCCATCTTGTTGCAACCACATTTGTATTCTGATGTTTAAAGGCAGATCTTAAAAAAACTCGGGCAACTGTTCTTGTAATAAATGCAAGTATCGTTCAGCATTTAAATGATCTTCAATTATGATGGGTCCTATTAGACGATTACCGATTATACCGCACCAGATATTCACTGAAAATCGATTTTGAAAATGTGTTTTAGTAATAGCATGAGGATTTTTTTCTCGTGGTGACCAAACGTGTGAGTTTCTATTATTTGTAATGCCGTCTCTCGTAAAAGTAGCTTCGTCGGTAAATAAAACTTTTGTATGTATTTGCCGATTTCTTTAAAGTTAGTGACAAAAATTGATGCGTGCAGGATAATCATTTGGTTGAAGAGCTTAAACATTCATAAAATGAAATGGGTATAAATCATAATCACGCAGTATTTTCCAAATTGTCGTTTTAGAGACGTTAGTTTGTGCCGAAAGTCTTCTGATACTAATAGTAGGAGTTCTGTCCACCGTTGCTAGTATCGCATCCTCGACTTGATGATGTCGCCTTAATGGTCTCTCAAGATTTTTATTTGGGATCTTACCAGTAAATTTAATGCTTCGGTGGACATTGCTAAAAACTCTTCGATCTGGTACTCTGCGATTAGGAAACCATCGGTGATATTCTGTTACTGCTGCACGTGCGTTACTATTACAGAAACCATAAATAAAATGAATATCGGCATATAATTCATTGGAAAATGTGCTTATGATTGGTAGGTAAGAGAAATTTCTAAGCTATGTTTATGCGATGTTTTCACTTAAAACGACAGTCAATTTATTAATATTATCTTGTGTGGCAAGTATGGAAAACAATGAATTATGTCGAGTATGAAATTGCCGCATTCGCTTTGGCTCATGCGGCAACTTCATGCGACGTAATTCGTTGTCTTCCGCACATGCCATACATACAATATTTTTTGTAATGCTTGTTATTTCCGCACTACTAGTGCGGTAAGGTAAATCATAAAGGTGCTTTTCTCGCATTAGTGTGAGATATAACATTTGCATTTTTTCGCTATAACTTCGAAACATGCGACTTTAGGGCATATGTGTATTAAGACTTTTTGACTTAAAATGACACAAAGAATACATAGTTTCAGTGTGGACACCCTGTATATACAGGGTGTCCGACAAGTAAGTGACCAAACGAAAGGTGAAGGTAGATTGGGTCAAATTACGGTCCCGATTGACCACGTTGATATTGACCACGTTAATATTGACCACGGTCCCGATAAATCGCGTTTATATTGACAACGGTCCGGATTGAAAAACCATGTAACATACACACACATGCGGAGGGGTGCAAGGGGGGGCCTTCGGCCCCCCCTCCCGCACCCCCTCCGCCAGTCAGGCACAATAGACTTTACAACTTGCAAAGTACATGCCCTAGTGACGACATGTATTGATCCGTGGTCAATCGGGACCGTGGTCAATCTTAACGTGGTCAATATTAACGTGATCAATATTAACGTGGTCAATCGGGACCGTGGTCAATATCAACGTGGTCAATCTCAACGTGGTCAATATCAACGTGGTCAATCGGGATCGCGGTCAATCGTGACCGTGGTCAATATCAACGTGGTCAATCGGGACCGTGGTCAATCGGGTCCGTGGTCAATTTGAACCGTCGTCAATCGGGACCGTGGTCAATCGGAACCGTGGAAAATATCAACGTGGTCAATCGGAACTGTGGTCAATCGGGACCGTGGTCAATCGCAACGTGGTCAATCGCAACGTGGTCAATCGCAACGTGGTCAATCTCAACAGTGGTCAATATCAACGTGGTCAAACGGGACGCTCCCGTGTTAAATAAATGCGGAAAAATGCCTTTATCCAACGTATCCTGTGATCCGAAAGCTTTCGGTAATTTCGATAAACGCATTGGCATATAA